GAGAGTATGATTGGTATACGGCTTCAAAAAATAATCGTAAAATTAATTATTAATTATTAAAGAGACATCCAGCGTTATTGTGAACAATAGCCCAATAATTAACATTGAAGCGATGCTATTTAATTGATAGGATCAACTTAACAGACAGGTTGAAAACAGACAGTGTACTCTGGTAGTGTGTATTTGTCACGGTTGGGTTATGCTATGTGTGTGTGTGTGTGTGCGTGGGTCTCTCCTGATCATGCTCATTCTCTCCACCTGTGCCAAATCACTTGCCCCTGGTTTTTCCCTCTGCAAACCCCACTCATTTCCACTCACCTGCCGGCAATCAGCTCATCACCCCTCACATACTTATACTCCCCTGCTTGCCCTGTTCCAGTTGCTGGATTATCGTTTGTCCTTTTCCCTCCCTGTGGACTCTTCGCGCTTGTGTTGAGCTTTTGCGGTCCACGGTTTGTGACTGCCTTTTTGTGTTCAAGCCCTTTTTTGTGACTTTGCTTTTTATTTTTAATTTGGATTTTTCACGCTCCGGTTGGAGTGGATTTTGGTTTCTGTTTTTGTCTGCTTAAGTGCCCAGTAAAGAGCCTTGCATTTCACCTCACCTTGTGTCCTGTGTCTAAGTCTGCGCCTGAGTCTCTGATGCACTCCTAATCCCACATGGGAAACCGTCACACAATTGTAATCAGTAACTTATTGCGGACCTTCCTCACAGTGGCTCCCAATCAAAACCTATTTAAATAGCTCTTGGCAGAGTAGTTTGTTCAAACAGTATTATCATTGCCAGCTGGTACTCGCAACGTGTTCTGTGATTAAAGAGACAATCAATCTTTTTTTTACTAAATCAGTTCAACAGCAATAATTAAATCACTGCATTTGCATTGATAGGGCTACTTGATTATCATGATGATCAACGGGTCACATTGTTACGGTGACCTGTCCTATCACTGAATCCTTTGTGCTTCACATTATAAATTGGGAGAAACTTCAGTCAGGCTACTTTCTTGTTGTCTTCTAGGTCAGAAGATTGCTTGTGTGCCAACACCATCCTCTTACATCTTCCATTTGCTCCAGGACTGCCACCATCACCAGCACCCAACATGAGCATGGTAAGTTTGACTGCTTTGTTCTTGCTTCTATTTAACTTTGCTTCTATAATGTGTAGAATACAAATATGAGTACCATTATAACAGCAATCTTTTATTTTCTAATTAAATGGTTTGTTAATCCTGAACTGCAAAATTGTGTTTCTCAGCAACTTGAATTGAAGAACGTGATTATAAGAGCTGGAGATCAGCTGAAAGTAAAGGGGGTAATTCCACATGATGCTGAGAGGTGAGCCAACCAAACCCATAACATTTGTTTCATATTAGCTTCTTCAATGAATAAAACGGTGATATTTATGCTCTGCAAACAGGTCAATATTAAGACTACATCTATTGTATAATCTCTGATCCACTCAGATTCGAGATCGATCTCGGCTGTGGTGCAGACGACCTGGCGCTGCACTTTAACCCTCGTTTCCATGACGACACTGATGGAGCCGTTCTTGTTTGCAACTCAAAGGCTGCTGGTTGTTGGGCCGTTGAGAAACGTGAAATACACAACCCCCTACAGAGGGGAGCAGAGGTCAAGGTGAGACAATCTGACTGAAGGGAGTGAGAATGTGTATTTTGTAAAAAAAAAATCACAAGGAACTCATTTCCTCACTTACCTTTAGTGATATTTAGCCATGCAGGGAGATTTTGTTTGCAGAGATTTTGAGATGTCTACTAAAATGAAAAGGTTTTACTGTATCTTTTCTATTTCAGATGGTGTTGAAGCTGACTGGAGACATGTTTGAAGTGGAGCTTCCTAATGGACATGAAGTACAGTTTCCCAACCGTAATAACATGGACATCATCAGCTACATCAAAATCACAGGAGACTTCAAACTGACTTCCTTAAAGATCTGCTAAGAGACACAATTGCTGTTACACATGCATGACATGTTTATCGGTTTGGTTAAAGACAAGACTTTGAGACTTCAGTTATTGTAAGAAATATGAATCACTATGAGATGTAGATCTTCAGTGAATTGGAAATCTACCTTTATCTAAAAATGTCCTGTTGTGCACAAGAATATAAAATGTTTGTATTCAAATGATCTTGTTTTATTGTCTTTGATGGGTTGAGACTTAAAACATACAACAAACACTAACTTTACATACAGTATCAGTCTAGTTGTGAGAGAGCAGCAGACCAAGAGAGACAAATCACTCTAAAAATAGTAACAGCCCACTGAGATTACCTGTGTAGCCTGTCAGTGACTTCTGCTGCCTTCTGTGACCGAAAAAATAAACACACGGTCAAGAGAAGTGACCTGAGATGGCTTTGTGCACATAAAGTAATATCTAATAGGACCAATGTGTCACTTTTATCAGAGAATACACAAGGATCTTTATAGTTATGACTGCTTCAACACTATCTCCAAAGAGTGCGTCATTGGGAGTCATTTGATCTGACAGATGCTATTTCAGTTTAGGTAGTTCTGTTTCAGTTTTCAGCTTTTGCTCCGTCCAAACAATCTCAGTAAGATCTTACTCCAAATCTTTGCTCTTGTCACAAATTCTTTATCATTTGATCGACTTCATGTTCCGTTTTTCCTCTTCATTTTCTTTATCGGTGTCCTTATTCATGTTTGCAACGTACATCATGTTGCAGTTTACATCCATGTCTGTTTAAAATGTCTTCACTTCCATTATTTTATCTTAGACATTTGTGTGAAATTGTCATATTTAGCTTATGAATTCTTGAGTTAAGGCCAAAAACGCATTTTGAGACCACCAAATTGACCTCAAAATCTGATCAGTTCATCCTTGTGTTCCTGGGATGTATACATTCATGATAAAGGACAGGACGTACAGACAACCCAAAAATATAATACCTCTGGCCATGACTGTGGCTGGCGTTGAAGCATGAAAACCTTGAAAAAATACACTACAGTATCAGAAATAAATGCACTGTAGTCTTTGGCAGGTATCACTTTATCATAAACACTAAAACCTGGAATTTCAGTAGATATTAAGAAGTTATTTTTATTGTAACATGACAGGTTAAACTCAACAGATTTCTTCTCAATGACTTAAGTTGTTTAAATCTGTTTACATCACTCTTGGATATCAGAATAGGATACAGTAAGTTTCTAAATAAAAACAAAACTCAAACTTGTGTGGAAATAACAGATTGGTTGAAAGGAGATAAACAAAACAACTTAACACTTCAAATACTGATTGATTAATGAATAATTATGTAAAAACAAGCATGATTTTCAGCAGTGTTGTGGTTATATTGGCTAAATCACAGATTGAATAAAAACAACAAAACTCATAATTATATATATATATATAATAACCGATTGGTTGAAATGAGATAGAAATAACAAAACTTAACACTTTAAATACTTCATAATCATAAAGCATCCTTCACCAGTTATGTTTGAAATATTCTTTGAGAAGTTGTCATGGCAAACAGAAAACCTGATACTTCTTCAGGCTTTTACAGTTTCACAACAGTCACTCTTTGGTTCTACTTCACTTTGCAAAATCTTCATTATGTTTTGGCAGCTACAAGCACATGAGCATCTCAACAAAACAATTCCCACAACAAAACGTACGCCATGCAAACATACAATCATACAATATTCATGACAGGATTTTCAGTTGCAAATCTAAGAAATGAATCATACAGGTTAACAAAGAAATATGTCTTCCATTAGTTATTGATAAAATGTCTCAACTCTTTCCTCAACTTTTACTTTATGAAAACAATTTTCATTTACAGAAATCCTCACAGACCAATTTTGTAGATGAGTCATTGACTTGAAATTAATATAAATATTTTGAGAACGTTTTTATGACTCACTAAATTCTCCGTATTACTATTGTTCTTGTGCACTCTTTTGTTTTAAGTGTTAGTTTGCATAAAGTAATCTGATTCCTGTGAACCAGTCTAATCACGTGTAGTTTGTAATGATTCATTGACACATTTATTATTCACGCAACTTCCCCCGTCAATGGAGAGATAATCAAACGTCAATGAATGTTGTTTTATAGGAATCTGAGTAATGAATGATCATGTGAAAACAAGTAACATGATTTTCAGCAGGGTTGTGGTTGTATTGGCTGACTCACAGTTTGAACTATTTATCCAAACTTTGAATAGCTTGTTTTTTAGAGTGGGTTTTCCACTCGCTGGGAATTTGACCATTGCCCTGGAATTTTAATCCATAGTGGTTTTCCAGTTTCTTCTCAAATCGACTCACAAACCATTTCCAATATTCCAGCTTGGACCCATCAGGGGTAATTGCCCAGTTAGCAAAATTTGGGCCAGCAGTTCGATACATTTTAAAGGGAATGAGCACTTCTGAATCTCTGTTAGGGTAGAAACTTCCATCACTTGCAATACTTGTTGTGCAGAACTCAATACACAGATCCACAGAGTTTTTTACGTGCATTCCATTAACTGCCACAGATCGATGAAAAGACACGCTGTGGTCCTCTTTGTGATCATTTATGGTGTTGGTGCAAACAGCTGCACAGAACGGACAAGTTACCCAGCAGCAGTCACACAGCTGATCAATGAGGATTTGATCAGGCTTCATCCTGAATTCCTTGATCTTATCCAGTGAGAGGCTGCTCATTTCCTGTTTGACGGACACTAGACCTTTCTGTATCTCTTCTTTTAGAAAGTCAAAATTGTTTATGTCACGGAAGTTTTGACAACAAACTGTGCCGAATGCTAGCTCATCTTTTAGCAAACTGGAAAATTCCTCCATCCACATGTCTGGGCCTCCTTTTTTTCCCTTTTTTACTTTCTCTGTTGCAGTAAATAAAGCTTTACTAACAAGCGTGTTGATGTCGTCAACATTTTTCTTGAGCATATTCAGCGCTTTCCCTCTTCGTTCTTTGGAGATGTATTTCTGTACTTCTTCTCTTACATATGTCTCTGCTTGCTTCCTTGGGTGACGGATGTAGGTGATAAAACCATCAAAGTCCTCTTTCTCTGCGAGTGACTTCAACAAATGCTTCTCCAAGTTCGACCTGTTCCCATTGAATGCTGGGAAATTGCACCTCATCTCTCCAGCGAGATCAATGGCAGTCTTGTTACAGACTGCCTCAACAGTGGAACTCTTCAGCTTGTCACAGATCAGTTGTCCAAGCACAACAGCAGATGAGCTTCCTTTGCAGAAGCTTCTGAAAATGTTGTAATATTGCATTTTCTTGCTGTCTACATAAGAGTGTGCATCATTGTTCCCTTTGAATTTCATGTGGGTCTCTGAAAGCCATCTCCCTGCTCTGTGAAATACATACAGCAAGAGATCAACTGTGAACTCCTTCTTTAGAGCATATCTACTCTGTGATTCAAACTCTGACACCTTTTGTTTTACATCGTTGGCCAATTCTTGCAAGTAAGTTAGGCTGTAGCCTCTTGTAGCAACAGGTTTGCTCTTAATTGCATCAAGGGACTGTTTTTCAACATTGTCAATGAGGGATCTGATCAGCTGATTTTCTTCATGTGATAAATCACTCTTTGATGTATGTTGTTTCATTTGTTGTGTTGATTCAGATACAAACATTCTTTTCAAAGACCCCCACATAGATGACACAAAATTACTTCCTTGCCCTTTTGTGTTTTCTCTGTTATCATCTTGAGATTGTTGGCTTGTGTCTGAGAGATCGTGATGCTTCGTCAGAGATCCATAATAAGCGTAATTACCAAACTCTGCTATGTTTTTGTATCTGCCACTGATTTTGGATTCATGTATGAGAGCCCATTCAAAACCAAGCTCCTGAAGGACAGTTGACTGATCTTCGTCAACGTTGATGTCCTTAATAGGTTTTGTATCTGCAGTTAGTTCTCCAACCAAGCCACTCCAAATAGAGTTGAACTGCTTTTCAAGTTCTTCTTCATCGTTTGCCTTGTCCTTTAACTGATGAGCGAGTTCTTTGCTCTTTTGTAGGAGTTGGCTCTCAAACTCTGTCTTCTTATCATCAAGCTTTTTACAAGCATTTTTCTGCTGGATGACGTCATCCAGTTTTCTTTGAACCCCTCTCAATAGTTCATCATGAAACTCCTTGATTTTGCTTTCAAATCGGCCTCGCCACTGAACCAACATGTCTTTGTCTCTGTCATCATCAAAGTATGTTTTCATTGCATTTGTGATTTCTCCATAGATTTTATTCATTTTCTCATAAAGATAATCGAGCTCAACCTTTTCAAGTTTTCCATTTTCAATTTTGGTATAAAGCCCGTTCTCAATGGTCAACATGTTGCTCCTCAGGGTCCAGGTCCAGTTCCCGTACTGGACCTCAAGTTTTCTGTACACTGCAATTTCAAGTGTGTTTTTGAAACTGAAAACAAATTGCTCGTTCATCAGGGCATTCCACAGGTCCTGAATTTTGCTTTTGAACTGCGAGAGAGTGATCCCAGCAGACTGTTTAGCTTTAGAGAGGATGGTGGTCTTCAGCTCTTGGACACTCTCACTATAACCCTGATTTGGAGGAGCCATAGGTGGACTTCCCTCCCAAAGCTGGGCAAAGTATTTCACATCTTTCTGCACATCAAATGCAATGACGTCACTGAAGCACTCGGCATCACAATCCTCCTCTTTGGCTGCTAGTTGGGTCATCTTGTCCAGTTTTTCTTGCAGCCGTCTCTTTCCATCCATGTTTTTTTCTGCAGCACCAATATCAGTAACATTCTGGTGAACAAATACACAACTTGGAGAAAGTTTAATTTTCTTCATCCTCATGAAAGCCTGAACAACAATCTGCAGAACATCTTGCATCTCAGCTGGATTCTCTCCAAAGATGTTGATCAGCGTCATGTTTCCCAGACCAACAACAAATGTTGCCAGTTCATTGTCGTGGTGAAGAGTGGCTTTACCTTCCAATTCAAGAGCACGCAGTCCTTCAGTGTCCACCACTAGTACATAGTCAAACTCAAAGTCTTTCTTGATCTCCTCTGACACTTCGACCAGCTGCATGAAGGCACCCTTGGTGCACCTGCCAGCACTCACTGCAAACTGTAACCCAAACATGGCATTCAGCATTGTTGATTTTCCGCTGCTTTGTACGCCCAACACTGACAAAACAAAGACTCTCTTGTCACCCAGTTTCTTGATGACTTCATCTAAAAGACCAGAGATCCATGTTAAAGGTACATGACCTGCATCACCATCCATCAGCTCCATTGGGTGTCCTGATATCATCAGCTCTGCAGCCAGCTCGGGGTATTTAGACCAGTCAGTCTGTCCCCTCTCTGGTTGTTTCTTCAGAGATACATGAGCTTCATAGATCTGTCCCATTTCTCTGAAGATGTGCTCCAAGCCAAAAGTTGCTGACTGTAGTTGTGTTGATATTTCATCAAGCTCAGTTTGCTTTCCTTTTAGCAGATCAGATTTGTCATGCTTGTTCTTCAAGTCCAAGACCTCAGCCCACTTTTCATCATAGCTTTGGAGAATTGAACCGAGGTCGTCTGTGGAGAGGGCATCTGTTAAGATCTGAGTCCATTTCAAGAAATAATCTTTTTCTGTTGCTGACAAAGATGAGAGGCTTTCAATGAACAACTTCATTGGTTCACTGCAGGAAACAGTGAATTGATCTTCTCGTATTTGCATCAGTTTCCGTTCCTTTTTACATTTCTCATTCTCAATGTTTCCTTTGAGGTGATACAGTCCTTTGTTGATGTTGCACCATTCATGCCACAGTTTGCCTTGACAAGGGAGATATTTATCTTTGATCTTTGAAACATCCATCCCCTGAAGCACGTCCACAATTTTCATTGCAGCAGATTTTCCTTTTTGGCAGACTTTGTCGTCTTCATCCACTTTTACTCCAGAAACGTCAGCCATGGATTCAAGCTGGAAGGTTTCATGTGGTCCAGACAAAATCTTTCCAATGATTTTTTTCAATTCTTTTGAAACATCTGAGTGGTTTTTGTTTTTTAAACCCATTTTGTATTTTCCCTTTTTCATCTGAACAGCACCACCATTGCTATCAGCAATGAGAATAATGAGAGGCTTTGGAGACTTGTAAAGGGCTGAGACCACTGCACTGTTTTTATCACCTTGTTCCAGAGTTGGTACAAGTACAACATTGACTGAAGATTTGTCAGTCAGTATGTCACGCTGTTTTACAGTTGACAAAGCATCACCATGAAGATTACAGAAGGCAATGCAGTCAGTGAAGGCATCATTGGGTTTTCCAGCAGGGCAGTACCAGGCAATCTCTGCCACACCATCCATCAGATGGCAAGACTTGGTACTACCTGGGCAGTTTCTGTCGAAGAAGGTTTTGTGACGATCATTGATCAAAGTGTTCATCAGCTCAGATTTAGAAAGAGATGGTGAACCCAGGCGGAGAAATGACACCATGGGTGTCTCAGCTCTGCAGATGGGCATACTCTTCATGGTGACAATGTTTGAATTATCTTTCATTTCAGTTATCTTCCATGTTTTTCTTATTTGTTTGAATGTCCACAGAGGACAGCCAATATCCATTGTTACTGGGTCAGGAACAAGCAAGGGTAAGGCGTACTGACATTGTGATAGCTTTGTAATCATGTTCTGCTTAAAAAAGCTGTCTGAGCAGTGAAATACCGCCATTTGAACATCCATTGGATGCAGGTGAGTCTTGAGATTTGATTGATCAATATCTACTTTGGTGCTGTAAAGAACATCAAAGTCATCATAGTCTGTGTCATCAGTATCAAACTCTTCAACAGGGTTTGAGTGGCTCACCTCAGGAATGTTTTTTCTTACAGGAATATATCTGGCTCTATAGTCTAACATCATCAACCTCTGAATAAAAGTATGAGCTACATCTTTCTCAGATGTGTCATGGTTCTGTTTCACAGGTGGACCCACTTTGAGAAAATCTGCTGGAGACAACTTCTGTTGATGTTTGTCTTGAAGCTGAAGTCTGTCAAGCAGTGCTTCAGTTTCTCTTTGATATTGTTTCTTCATGTTGATCTCTTCAGAAAACTCCAGTGACTTCTGTAAATAAGTAAATTAGCATGTATTGTATGTAGAAAATTATAGTCACATTGTGATATAAAGTAAATAAAAAATATTAAATTTGGAGTTTCTTACCTTATCCATGTCTCCACTCATATCCATATTAAAGGTACCTGCCGTAGAATAATGGACTGAATCATAAAGACAATCAAGCATAAGACAAGCAATGCACTTTAAAACGAATACGTTTTTTTCTGTATTGATAATGTTCACTGTCAGCAATTTTTTACGTTCTTGACCTTTTCCTGTAATGGTAATATTCATTCAAATGTTACCTTTCTCAGTGGCAGCAGATTGTGCAGGCGTGATTTCAGATTCTCCTCCCACAGTTGTGTTGCCATCATTCTTTGAGTGTTCAACATCAGCAGGTCCTTTCTTTGGATCACACTAAGAAAACAAATAATTTAATTTAACATCAGTTAACCGCCCATCTAGTGAATCGTCACCTCAACGTTGTGGAGGGTTTGTGGGCCACAGTGACCATGGTAGCTATGTTGTCAATAGCTCCTGGTAGGGTCTCCCAGGCCAAAGTGGTCCCATGGGAGTGGCAAGACCAAGAGTGATTCACTGACCCTACATTTATTGGTCAGAAAAGAGTTGTCGCACCTCACCCGCAAAAGGGAAACCGGTGCTCCCTGCTTGAGGAAGACTTGGGAGGGGAGCTTGCCAGTGAGTGTTTGGTGACGAGGCCTTGACACATGGGGCTCGGAATATCTACATAAAGCAATTGCCCTGTGGGCCCAACACTAGCAGGGATAGGCATTACAGTTGGGTGCATTGCCATACATAGCACTGGTTCTGGAACCAAACTCATAAACAGGGGCTGGACAGCAGCCTTTTCTGGAGTTGCCAAGGGTGAAAGGATGTGTTGGAGTTCTCCCTAGGGAACGGGAGTGTCCGATGTATGCGACTGCAAAGTCCTACACTAAAATGATTAACTTCACTTCAACTTCATGTATTTACCGTAGACTGAGAAAAGATATCTGCCAGCTGTAATTGGTTGTTTCTCGACACATTACATGCTGTGTGTGCCATAAAGTTCCAACAGTTGAACTATTTTCATCTTGAGGTGCAGCTGTTGCGCCCTGAAGAATAGGCACTGAAGAACGCTAGGCTTCGCTCTCGATTTCTGCATGTCTACATTGACAACAATGAATTTGAGGGCGCAAAAAAGGCGACATGTGTATGACCCCGTAGCAGTTAGAAAATGGAGAGATGATGGATCAGTTAACCAGGTTAGATCCATTGACATTAAGAACATGAATATCAAGAACACACTATTAGACCAATTCAGACAACAACTCCAAAATAAAAGCAAGGCTAAACAATATGCACTAAATGCAAGCAGGTTTATAGTTCAGTGAGAAGAAAGTAAACTTATCTCATTTCAACTCATCCACGTGTCCACCTTGGGCAGTGGTTCTCAAACTGTGGGGCGCGCCCCTCTAGTGGGGCACGGCGGTATTGCAGGTGGGGCGCAGGGGGAAATACAGAATTTTTTTATTTCAAGAACTTTATGCATACCCGGGGGGGGGGGGGGAAATGGGCCGCCAGCGTTTCTCAGATTGGAGTGAGACGAGGAGAAAAGGTGATGTCGTGATCTTCACAATAAAACATCTCTGATGTGACGTGTCGAGTCTTGGCCAATCAGCGTTAAGATGTCTCCACCGTTTTTCCCTCCGTTACAGTTTAAGTTACGTTATGTTCCGTTACCGTTCAGACTTGCTGGGTTAAGTTAACGTCCACTGCATGCGACACTCTGTGGACTGTTAACGTTCGTCATCATTGCGATTTAGGAGGAAAAAACGTAACGTGATGAAACATGCAGCCCCCCGTGTTCCGGTTCAGTTCACGCGGTCACTCATTAACGTGAAACCGGAACACCGGCGCATCTGGTTGGAGGTTGTTTGTTTTTACTCAAAGTAGAATGAAAGGCCCAGATACTGATGAGATGATGAGGTCAAAGAGCTTCAGGAAGAGGAGGCTGTGTGTGTAGCGCAACTTGACGCAGGGCTGAGATGTGGGTGGAGCTGGGCCTGGATAAAGGTGGAGCTGGGCCTGGATAAAGGTGGAGCTGGGCCTGGATAAAGGTGGAGGTCTAAACAGACGTGAGTACAGCTTCCCACTGTCACAGTATTTTAAATACATTGATAAGGCAGGGTATGCTAAATGCAGCCTCTGCTCCAAAGAGATGAACTACAGCAACAAGGGCTCCCATGTCCTCTCATCACACTGTACACACTGTTCACTGTAATGACCACAGCCAGTGTACTAACAGTTCCAACAGTCCCACGTGCAGTTAAATCACAGCTATTATTTTACTTTTAGAATGCTACACTTTAAAGCTCATATTTAAAATAAAATGCTCCAGATATGTGTGAGCATATGGCTCACACATATCTGCACTCATTTTGTTTAGTTTTGCACAGGTTGCACGTTATTGTTGTTTTGAAAAAATATGCAGTGTAAAACTCAGTAAAACTCTTTATTGCCAAATATTTGAACTTCTTTTGTTTAGTTTTTCACAGGTTGCAGTTTATTGTTACTATCGTAGAAAGATATTCAGTGCAAAACAGGTTAATTGCAGCCACAATAAGCTATTTTTTGCCAAATATTAGTTATTTTTTGCACAGATTGAACTTTATTTGCATTGTTCTAACAAAGTGATTGCACATTGTATTTGTTTTTGTCTGATGGAGCAATCTGGTTTACTTGAAAGTAATTGCAATTTTCTTCTTCTATTATTTGAAAAAGCACAGATGGAGGAGTCACGAAATGTTATTTCAATAAAAGTTCAACATGCACCATTTTGTTACAATTTTGTTGTGGCTGTGGGGCATGAACATTTTTCTTCCTCCAAAGTGGGGCGTGACAGAAAAAGTTTGAGAACCACTGACCTAGGGGGTTCGTAGAGTAGAACTCTGTTCAAGTCTAAACTACAAATGCAAACAACTATAATCTTCAGCTAAAACTTGACTCTAAAATATAGGTGTCAATAATAAATAAACACTGTAAGACAATAACTACTGAGGAGCAAAAAAAATCTCACATTTACCTCTGATTTAGCTGCACTTTCCTCCAGCTCATCTACTGTAGGGTAATGTAAAAACAAGCAGATTAAACATAAAACAAATTGGTTTTGGTACAATTTAAGATGAACAAGATATATCTGCAAAAAGTTCTGTGTATTCACAGATTTTGCTGTTCCACAAGATGTATCTTCTCTGCAAAAAAATATTTTAATTTATACATTTTAATGTTATTTCAAATTTAAAGTTATCCATATTTTGCAGGAATGGACAACAAAACAATACTTGGGTTCTTTTTCATTCAAATGTTACCTTTGTCATTGTTTGCAGATGATACAGATGTGATTTCAGACTCTCCTGTGTTTTCATCATTCTTTGAGTTTTCAACATCACCGGGTCCAGTCACTGTATCACACTAAGAAAACAGGGGATTTCATTTAACCTCCAGTTCAACTTGGTAGAGCAGTTGAGATTAAGATGTTGCCAGAAGAACATCTGCCAAGATAAACATACAATAGTCCAGATCAATATCATACAGTGATGCACCAATCGAGTTCCAAACTACAGCTTGAAGATTGGAACTGTTTACTGAGGCGTGAGACTTAAAATGTGATCTAACTCACATGTAGGTAGTTTTAAGAACAAATGCTGTTCCATGATGATGATCACTAACGAAGTTGAAAAATCTTACCTTTACCTTGATTGCAGTTGCATTCTCCTCAATATCTCCTTCTGCAGGGTAATGTAAGGAAGACAAAATTGTATAGGTTTAAAAAAATAACACTGGATTAGCTAACCATGATCATTATATTTACAAAGTTTCTGTGTTCAATTTCTGGAGGTAATTGTACCTGAGATGGAGGAGACAAAATAACAGAGGAGATAATAACAAAAAATGTATGTCAGTGGCGGGCCATGCATTTTATACCTGGGCCTTCACTGCTGTCTTGCAGCTGAAACATAGCTACGGTTATTATTTGTTTCGTGTAAAAATAAAGCCAACACCTATAAATACACTAACTGCAGAGAATATGCCGAGAGTGTGTCTCCTCTGTGCTCTGACTGCAGCTGGGACTGCTGCGCGGGGCTGCTGTGAGAGTAGCCACCTGTCATAGTCTTCAACCAATCAGATCTTTAGTTTGACATGTTGGGCGTATTCTTTGACGTGCCAGAGCCTGCTACCTGGCCTAGCCATACGTGATTGGTCAGTGGGCTACCGTGACAAACTAATGAGAAAAAAATGATAATACATGTAGTGTATTTATGAAAAATTATTTAATTATAAAATAGCTATAACTTTGTGATTCTGTCTAGGCCAGCAGAAAAGGCCTTGCTGGCCCTGACGGCCCACCACTGATGTATATATATACCAGTGGTGGGCCATCAGGGCTAGCGTGACATGTTGGGCGGTGACAATCCCAATATCTGCTGCCTCTGTCGAGCGGACATTTTCAATCCTCAAACGCATTAAAACGTATTCAGGAAATACAACTGGGGAGGCTCGACTGTTTTCACTGGCGTCCATGAATCGAGAAGGACTTCTTACTGGAACTAAAACGCACGGATGTACTGAACAACCGTGAGATTAAACTCTTTATTAACAAAGAAAGGAGGATGGACTTTGTCTTTAAATAGTGAACAGCAGCTCTGGTAAGTTAACTGCTTTTGTTTTTACATCTGCAGTAGCTTTAATATGCTTGTTTATATATTATTATTTGTACAACTTGTTTTTATGAAGATGGATTTTTGTTTGGTTTTATATGCAACAGGAACCATTGTTACGTCCAATGTTGCTCTGGGGACATATTTAGGCGGTGCCAGTGTTGCCAACTTGGCGACTTTCCCGCTAAATCTCACGACTTTCCAAACCCTCATGGCAACTTTTTTTGTCAAAAGCTACTAGCGACAAATCTAGCGACTTTTTCTGGTGTTGTTGGAGACTTTTCTGGTGTTTTGACTCTAACGTGAAAGCACGTACGTTCTGCACTGTGGTGAACGAGCAGCGGGTGCTGCCGTGAGCCGCCCCAAAGCACTCACAGGTGTCTACTCTCACAGAAGCCTCGCGCAGCAGTCCCAGCTGCATTCAGAGCAGAGAGGAGACACACTCTCGGCGTATTCTCTGCAGTTAGAGTATTTATAGGTGTTGGCTTCATTTTTACACGAAACAAATAATAACCGTAGCCAGGGGCGTTTGTAGGATTCGAAGAAACCTCCTTTCTTTGAATCCTACAAATGCCCCTGGCTACGGTTATGGCTACGGCTTAGCCCCAAGGGGAGGGGCATGTTTGAGCTGCAATTGTTTTTGGGGCCCATTTGGGGCCGCGGATATCCATTGTTTCAGACAGTTCATAGATTGGTTCAATCAGAAAGAGTGTGATTTTGCTCTGTAGTTTTGCTTGCATTCAGTATATAATAACACAAGAAACAGAATTTCAGGGTCATAGTGAAATTTGACAACACAAATATGAACTTTGCTCAAATAAAGAGAGAGAAATAATTTTCCTGCTTGTAAGGGAAAGACGGATAAACTAGCTTTCATATCCGCGTCAATCCCAAATCCTAATTCTTAAAGGGACCGCACACAATGGATGGAGAATGGACCTGACAGTGTCAACTTTATATCGGTAAGTATGATGATAGGCTGTTGGATTGTAATTTGAAGGGGGAGAAAACATACAAACCAGAACGCATGCACATATGTAGCATGTTAAAGTTATAAATAACTTATCCATGTGAGAAACAATAGTTTAATTTACTGACATCACAAAAATAATGTGTATATATATATATATATATATATATATATATATATTTTTTTTAAGCCAATAAAGCCAGCTGAGGCTCAGAGTGGGAAGGTATTTGTAGGAGCGTGGCCGGAAGTGGGCGAGTGGCTGAGGCGTGGTCCTGCTCCTGAAATTCAGCAAAATAAATGTATCTACAATTAAAGTGCTTTTCTAATGACCTTCATAACTCTTGCTTATCAGTACGCTTATTATGTAAATCCAAACATTCAAATATTGAGCCAGACGTCAGAATCATTCAAACATCTGGTGGAAAGAATTGATAACCCACAAATCATTAAATTCAATCACTAGCATGTTCATCTTAAAACGTTAGTGCAACTTGTTAACCAACAAAACACATAATTTGCATTTCTTTATTTTGGAACAGCTGTCTGCTACAGCTGAAAATAATGCCATGAGAGCTGTGAAAGTGAATCAAAACAGTGAAATTGACAGACGCACAACTGTGAAATAAAACTCACTGTAAAGCTCTGTAAAGCAAAATGGAGCTGCAGATTCAGGTGATAATTCTTTGTAGGTTATTCACTATGAGGATCACTTTCACATTGTAACATTGTTTTCAAAGTCATTTTAATCTGTTAGTTGTTAGTTCTGTCCACATTGTCTTCATGAAGCAGTGTCGGTGTAATTCATAAACGCCAACATTAAAATCTCACCTGTTTGACTTTGCTGAAACAATGAGGACTCCAGCCTTTCTTCTTTGTGCTCCAGCTGTTCTTTCTGCCCTTTATTTCCATCACACATCAGTCCACTGTGGCAGTGGGGAGCATTTTCAGAGACCATGGCGTCTATTTTTTCCAGCAGCGATATTATCTCTCCTTCATCCATCATACTTCTTCTACATGTGTGGTATCTTTTTTCAACAAAACTGCTGTTGGCTTTCAGGTCTGTCAGTGCACTTTCACATGTTACATCTGACTCATGAGTCACAACTGTCATTACATAAGCCATTAATGCTTTCCCAAAAGTTGTTTCGAACCACTGCACTCCTGAACTGTAATGGCTGTTATGCAGGCCATTTGGTAACAGCATGAGAAACCCATGGATTTCTTCATTTAATGGGAATTCATCAATGTTTGGTAGACCAAGCATGTTAACGACAGAGATGTGCTGACCACACAAATCATACAGTTTGGTTGAAAAGTGTTCCACATTTCTTTGCTTGTCATGGTCAATTAAGATGTTTTTTGATCCAATCTCAATGGAATTTGTTTCACCAATTAACACCAGTGTGAGTACAGGCATCACTGAAACAAAAAAAAAGTGACATCACCATGCTATACTGCAGGATTCATTAAGAGAACATTTTGAATGACTAAAAGCTGTTTCACATTTTGCTCAAATGTATTGCAAAAATATAATGAATGTGATATAGTGAATCTAACATAATTTATTATTGAAACACTGTGAGATGTTAGACTTGTGTGTTTTCATGACCTTTTTAAAGTCATTATTTTCTCCTGTTTTTTCATCGTAGACATCAGAGATTAGTTGAAGTATAATTTGTTTTTATAATTTTTTCAGTGTTTGAAAATCTGTATGTTGCTCTACAATCAATTCATAATCAAAATATTACCTTTCTTATTTGACAAAGATGGCTTTGCAAATGCAATCGTCTCTGCTCCTCTGCTTTCATCATTATTCTCGGAGTGTTGAGCTTCACCAGGTTCATTCACCAGATCAAACTGAGAAAATGTGTGATTTAATACATTACATTACATTACAGTCATTTAGCAGATGCTTTTATCCAAAGCGACTTACAGTAAGTGTATTCAACATAGGTATTCAAGAGACCTACTAGACACCAGAAGTCATAAGTGCATCTCCTTTTTTAAACCAGCATCTAAGAGCATAAACCAGAGCAAACGTACAGTGCAGAAACAAACTAATACAATAAGTGCAACAAACTAATACGAATACAATAAGTGCTAAGTGGAAGGCTCAGCTTAGCACTTCTTGAAGAGGTGAGTTGTCAGCCTGCGCCGAAAGATGGGCAGCGACTCTGCTGTCCTGACGTCAGTGGGAAGTTCATTCCACCACTGTGGGGCCAGGACAGAAAACAGCCGCGACTGTTCCTTTCACTGCCCTGTAGGCTAGCACCAGAGTCTTAAACTGGATGCGAGCTCTTACAGGGAGCCAGTGTAGAGAACGGAACAACAATTCTCCAGATTCTGACTGAGATTACAATATTTCTTGTGATCTTGATATAAGGAGTGTATTTTAAACCCAAAGACAAGAAAACTGCATCAAAATGTAAAAGTTGAAGATCAATAACTTACAGTGTTGTACCAGTTATGAAAACAATAAAACAGAAATTAAAAGCAAAGTAAAACAAAGTTTGTTCTAATAAAAGCAGTTGTGCAGTTCTGAAAGAGGGCATGGCTAAAGAATTGGGGGAGGGCTAACCCACACTAATGAGAGAGCAACTCTTTGCTGAGACCAATGACGCCTCCCACAAGACTCTACAACAAACAGTTCATGAGTTTGGTCTTTGTACATGAATCCATTTAGAAGTTATGTGCCTGTTTGTTATCTCGCACTCATTGCCACACCCCTTGTTTGCCAATAGACATGAACACAAACACACACCTTCACACTCACACACTTCCATGGCAAATTATAGCCTCCTAGGGCAAAAACTGTGGCCACCAAAAGGTGGGGAAATGTTTGTGGATCGCAGCTAAAAATGTGATTACTGTTTAAGAACAAATACAGTTGTAATGATAACTAATAAAGGTGAAGAGACTTACTTTTACTTTGGTTTCAGCTGCACTCTCCTCTATCTCCTCCACTACAGGGTCATGTTGGAATAGTAGAATACATATAGTCACCATAAAAAACATAATATTTGGTTCGATTATTCATTCAAGTTTGTTTATAAACTTTTAAATTACCCTTTTCATTCGTCCCAGATGGTACAGATGTGACTTCAGACTCTCTTCCAGCTGCTGTATTGTCATGGTTTTCCACCTCCATCTTATCGGTTCGTCATGCTTTATAGAGTTGTAAGACAAAGTCAGTTAGACAACTACTATAATAAACTATACTGTGTGTGTGTCACCATTCAAGCTGAAGGGCCATGTATTTATTTTTAAATTTAAAAACTAATAACACCAATATATATATATATATATATATATATATATATACACACACATATATATATATATATATATACACACACACACATATATATATATATATATATATACACACACACATATATATATATATATATGTGTATATATAAAAGTAAAGTGAAAGTAGGACAGGTCTGACTCATGATTTCTGTGAAAACTGATCACACAATATTGATAACACTAAATTTACTCAACACAAACCACTGTCAACACTGAACACTTGCAACAAAACATAGCAGACTCTATAAAGCTTTACGTTTATTGACAAAGGACAGCTCTATCTCATGATATTCTTCATGCATGTTCACCTGTGGGCCCCCTCCGGCCATGACTTTATTTTTATTTTTAAAAGACCAAAATACTTACAATATTTAACGGTTGGTGAATGACGCCCAATGTGATAGGTATAACGAGCTGTGAACTCTGCATGCACTTTAATGGTTAATCAGTGATGAGAAATGTCAAAGTCCGACTGCCCTAACTCATGATTTACACTAAACCACGTGACTTCAAGGAAAATGGTGTAAAGGTTTATCGCATGCTGAGGACGTTTCTGGTTTCAACCAAAAACACTGAAGCACAAACCACTGTCAACACTGAACACTGCTGCAACAAAACGGTTTATGTTAATTGACAGAGGACAGCTCTATATCATGATATTCTGTATGCATGTTAGCTTTAAATCAGAAACAACAAAAGTAAAAGTGAAAGTAACAGAGCTTTTCCCCCCAAACCATGTGACTTAGAAGAAAACGTTAAGGAGAGTTACAGGTCACACTAGACCACTATAATTTGTAAAATAATGAAAATAATTGTAAAACAATATTTAATGAGGCCCAATGTCTGTTAGAAAACATACGACCGCATTAGAAGTGTACACAAAAACACTACATTTGTATAAACTATTGTTCTGTGTCACCTTACCTCTGCCAGGTCTGTGAAAATGTGGATGCCGTGTCAGTAAACCTTCCAGTCCACACCATACTGTATATAAAGAGATCAGAAGCCTGTTGAATTCTAGGTTTGCCTCTCACAAGCCCCTCCCACCTCCCAGACTGCGGCTAAATGGAGAGCAGAGCCGTCCTTCAAGCAGAGGAGCGGCTCTGGCTCCGCTATAGTTGCATGTCGATGTGTCCTTGAGCAAGACACTTAAACCCAAAAATTGCTCTCGTAGCTGTGCCTACGGTTGTAAGTCGCTTTGGATAAAAGCGTCTGCTAAATGACTAATGTAACTGTTAAGGATTTCAGTATTAGAAATATTATAAGTAGGATTAAATAACACCCCTAGTGGTGAGTAGAAGTGTCACAATAATAATAATGTCAAAATAGGTTAAAAAGTCACAAAATATTTACTTATGGAATGTATTATGTTTACAATATTCTTACTTGTAGAGGATATTATATGTTACAGTATTTTACTCATTGAATGTATTAAACCATAGAAGTATAGTCACTAAAGGTATTAAAACACTGTATGAATAGTTTTGAGGGTCAGAAAGGGAACATTTTGAGTCAGACTTTACAGAGGTGCAGCAGAGAACAGAGGGATGGACAACTGACCACCAGGACCTGAGGAGGAGTCCGGACGACTTCAACCAAACACTGAGACGATAACTGCCCCAAGCCAGGAGGGGCTATTGAATTTCGGCCAATCACAGAGGCTGATACTGGACATTTAAACTTTCGGACAGAGACTTTTAAATATAGGCTTAGTTCCAGAGGGTTTTTGCCAGAGTTTAAAGACCTGTGTCTAGATGTTCTCGGGTATAATCCTGCACAGTTTAGGACAAAGCCCTTTAAAATAATGTTGTCACGATGGTATGTAATCGCATCGTGACATGTTCTTAAACTGCAGAATTGTTGGTACCTGTGATCTTACGATGATGAATCGAAACGCCTTGAAGGCGTGTGCCAGTTGATCCTAATGAGCATTCTCACTCCTCACCTGTTGTTTATGACGTGTAAACAATTCATCTCATGTAAATGTGTTCCGCATCATTTGTATATCTTCCTTAAACTACCTGTTACCAATGATCTGTATATGTATAGAACTAATTTCCCCTCTTTGTATTGAGTTTGGTTGGAAATATTCAGTTCCATTTCACAGATTACCTCTTCCCATCCTCCCTTAGCACCTCACTCTGGGTCACACTCCCAGCAACACTATAGTGCATTGAACAAGACAAGGTTGTAACCGAGAGTGATGCAGGAGAAATTTGGCCCCTGTCATAAGCATTGGCCGTTTCTGCCGTGGTTCCAGTAGTATATCTCTTTGAAGTGTACTGAAGTAGCATATGACGTGACTTAGTGAAGCTACATTTGAGTCAAATAATTGAGGACTGCATTAATTTAATAAATTTAAGAATATAATAATACTATTGTAACAGTGCTCTGTATCTGATCTGTGAATGTCCTCACTGCGGGACTAATAAAGGATTATCTTATCTTATCTTATACTTGAAGCTGTGCTTCTAGGTACTATGTTTGCATATGAGTTTCCGTACTGTAGGGCAGGTTTTGGGTGGTGGATTTCTGTTTGTTGTAGCTTGACAAAAAAAAATGGAAATCCTCCACCCATTTCCTGCCTTGCTCAATCACCATTGTCTTACCTATTTCAGTGCTAGATGGTGACTTAACAGATATCGATTTAAGTGAAAATCTTCAACATTATTTTTTTAAGTTGGAAAAAAGTTAAGTACACTAAGAGGGTCATCTACCAGTTTTAGTTAGACATGGGGACCAAATTTCACACGCTGATTAGAAAAAAGTGGTGCTGTACATGATCTCATGCCAAAACAAAATGGATTGTCTATTCCGACAATTTAACAGCTGTTGGGGGTCTTTGATGTGGACTCGAAAGGTTGTTTATAAAAAAGCCGAAATTTAAAATTAGGCCTTTATTGCATCAGCCATATCATTTAAGAAAAGACTGACTGATGAAAGCTTGATAAACATTCAGCCTACATGTCACAGTTGCAGCGATCACTTTTACTTCAGAGGAACATCAGCGGAAAATGTCCTACTATCTTAATTTTTATAACACCACTATTTATTTATTTAATTTATTTAAAGGGACCATGTACAGTTTAAACATAAATGTCTCCATTAGATGCACTGTACCAGATTGTAGCTTAAGCTAATTTGCATCTGCAGTCCTATTCCTGATTACAGGTAATTTATTGACAAGTTCTATCACGTGGTTATAAAACAGTTCAGGCTCACATTGACCTTGGCCTCAGACCTTTGAACCTGAAGATCTTTATTTATGTAGAATACATTTTGCTGTTGAACATCATGATTATGTAGTGAGTGATTATGTACAGTGTGAAACAAATTGAAAAACATCTATTCAACAGTCACTGTTCTCCAGTATTCTGAGCATAATTTATGCAGGTGGGACAAACTTCAGTCACTTTTTAAATCTTTGTTACTGATGAAATTAAAAAGTCATTATTAATAGTTTGTGTTAAAAATAATCCATTTTGTGATATCAAACTCAATCAGTGACTTGTATTTTTACAATAGTTCAAATAATCTATGAAAGCATGGCAGCAACTAGTGCAGAGAGAGGGAAAGGTCCAGGGTCAAGATCAGCATTAGTACCAGGATCTGGTCTTTGATCAGCGTCGCCCCTCATGTAGATGCATGTGAGAAGAGGAAGAATGTTTCTGGAGGAACAGAACAGAATAGCATTAACCCAGAACTCAGGTCACTGGGGGGCTCCTATGGTTTTATTGGATCAATAAAGTCACAGCACTTTTTCAGAGACAGTTTCACCGTCTAGACTTTGATCTCTTCCTCCTCTTCAGAAAAGGCATGTGGTGTTTTGCGGCTTTGGGTAAATGCAGGAGAGGTGGCGTCGTTGCTCATCCTCGTTCCCTTTGTGAAGGACCCTCCGCCATAATGACGAGACAGCACGTCAGCGGCCCTCTGGAACCTTTCTGCCTCAATTGCAGGCTCGGCTCTCTGAGGAGACCCAGTGCACTCGTCTGGTATCGTCAGTGACCCCCTCTCCTCCTCGTGCTCTGTCCAGTTCCTGCTACAAGAGCGCCTCCCATTCCTGCTGAATGACCCGCTGCCCATGGAGGGGTTGGGTGAAGTCGCCCCAGGGGTCTGCACGGGCGTTTCTGTTAGAGACCTGTCGTCCTCTTCTTCCTCTTCCTCTCCTTCTTCTTCCTCACCTGCTGCCTGGCTGTGATTGGACATCTGAAGGCAGCTGCGGTTGTCAATCAAGCTCAGTACCTCAGTCATAAGGGATGGGCCAAGGTCAACAGTGAACGAGGTGAGGGAGTCTGAGCGTGTCAGTGTGATGCCGCTGCTGTCTGGTAGAGATCCTTTCCCGGCGTCTCCATCTTGAAACTGTCTGTCAAGGCGAGAGAGGCGGGGCAGAGTCACAAATCCAGACTGCACACCTGCAAACAAGCAGAAGAAGAAAAACGCACTGAAGTCACTGAAATGATCTCTCACACAACAAACAGAAAACATCTTGGAGATGTTCTTAACCTTGAACCAGTATAATCTCAATGTATGTTACATGCTACATTTTCAATCTGAAGGCACTTTGCAAAGTATAAACCTGTGACAACACTTGAAGGGATATCCAGTCTAAAACAGAATTGACATCTTTACAAACACAAATATCTTTGAGTTAGAAATCAGATAATGAAGACTTTATGGGCACATAGAGTCTCGCTTTGAGGTTTAGCTTCATTCAGAATCATTTTATTTGTGTAAATCTGAAAAGTCCCAATATACCAGAAAACCTTGAGAAATAATACATTTTAAAAATGAACTGATCAAGAGGAAATGAATTAAGTACACACTGTTACATAGAGAGATGTCCAGTTGTTTACCGTCCTTCACCACAGGGTGGCAGTATCTAACAACCCAGTAACTCAATGCTGAAACTTCCCTGCAGGGATTTCTGTCTCCTTGCCAGACTAAATGTTACAGACAGTCGAAAACAGGAGGACGTGTAAGTGCGCTATGGTGCCACTGAAAGGAGCGGAAAGAGAGAAGAACAAGAGGGACGGAGAAACAAATGTGAAGTAACGGGAAACTTGCCATGATGTTTCATGATGGGGGTCCATCAAAGACCCTGATGAAGGCCTCAAGCTGTAACATGATAATAAAGTTGTTCTATATACAACAAGTGTTTCTGGAGCTGTTGCTATGAAGTGAAAATGATTTCAATGAAATGCTCGCAAATGTGTATTACATGAAAAATAACAATGAGAAATGTGCGCGATTTGTGCGTAATTTTGGGTATTCACAAATGTGTGTTCCAATCTATACACAAATGCCAAACAATTTGAACCCATGTACAACACATATTGAAAAATATGTATTTACTTTAGTTTGCTTATTTCTCTTTGCAGTATTATGATCTAAAGTTAAAGCTTTTTACTCTAATTTATACTCAATATGTATATAGTAGGTATACCTTCCTTTGGAATACTGCGAAAATCAAGAAGGTTTTTCACTGTTGGTGAACTTTATTTTCAACAGTGAAGGAGCAGTGGATAATGACAAAATATGTGACAAACAACTGAGTGAATATGAAGAGATGGATGGAAATAATGACATGCAGGCGAACGGAGAAGCACTGATGACAAAAAGTCCCCATCATCCTTCAGTTCACTGACTCTCTATGCCGGATCCACATCACTCAGTTTGGGTAAATTCCTTATGAATTGGGTAAGTAATCTGTAGACTGAAGAGGGGATTTCCAGTCCAGGCTCTGCCTGATAAGCTCTGATTGGTTAGCAGATATAATGAATGGTGTGTTTATGCTGAGCATTCAGGCAGTGACACATGCACACAGAGACGACAGGTAAATGCCCACTAAGTATCTTTCCTTCTCCCAAACCAGCTGTGTGTGTTTGTGTTTATAGACCTAATTGTGTACAGGTGTTGCCTAGGTGATTCCAGATGACTCAGAAGAAGCCCGCATGTTTGCTGGTTGTCTTGGAGGAATGTGGGAGCGACGTTGAAAGGAGGGCAACCTCACTCTCTCTGTTGGTGTGTTCACCGACATTTATAGTCCTGTTTGGACCAAGTCATCCAAGCAGCTCTTTGTGCTGTTTGGTCTGCTGGGGAGTGAATAGTGAGAACTGCAACTAATGATATATACACCACCTGTTTGTTTTCCCTAATTCATGGTAACTAATGTAGTGCTGGTCTACCACTAAGCTGCAGCCCATTGATCATCATCCAGACACAAATGCTCCATACGTTAGAGTGATGTTCTGAGCTTCTAACTAATGAGTATGATCTTACCAAATCTCATCTGTTTTATTTTTAATTATTATTATTTTTTACATTTACATCCAGAAACCACTTGTTTGAATTGTTTCTCTGAAGCTTTTTTTGTGTATCCAGAACAGAAAACTCTATATCATGTAATTTAACGTGTTTACTTGGCAAATGTGCCAACGTGAGGTCAATTTTAGCACCAAACTTACACATTCATTTTGTTCCATCTCCCTCCTGTCAGTACTAATCATTGCCATATCCTGTCTACAGCTGTTTCAAAGGAATTTTGTCTCATGCAAACTTAGTGTTAATCACAGAGCTCTCTTACTCAATGATAAATGTGACATGTGATGCCCTTTCTGTTAAACAGGACAAAAGTCCAGCTGAAAGCTGAATCAGTGTGTCAGTGGAAAAGCCTTTCGCTGTTTTTTTTAGCAGCAATGTTAAAATATAATTTTTTGGGACAAACCTCTTCCATAGGGTTATCCAGCATTAGCATACCATGGAAGAGAGACAGTTTGGAAACTGACATAGACATTTTTTCACTTGACATTTAACGCAGAGGCTTTCCATGAACCCTGTCCCATGTAGGATGTGATTATCGATATCTCACCATATGTGCAGAAGGAGTCATCTGTTGAGCTGATGGAGCTGGAGAACAGCACCCGCTGAAGGCACCCATTAGGGGAGTCCACGTTCAGCTGTGGCAGGGAGATGGCGTTCTTAATGATGGGTGAGACGTCTGGTGGTGGGGACGACAAGTCACGGGAGCCCCCCCGCGGCCGTGCCACAGAGTTTTTCCGCACATGCCCAAAGGTGCGTGTGAAAAACCTGGTTGTCATGGAGCTGTTTGCCGAGTCCGGACTGCCTGGCTCCCGGATGCCCCCGTAGTTGCTAAGGAAGGAAGTGTCACCAAACACTTCCCCGCCACGGCCAACATGCATAGTATGTCTGAAGTCGCCCAGCGGCGGGCTGATCATGTCCACTGAGAGTTCACTCTTGAAACGACGTTTCCCCTGAGAGCCAGACACAAGGCCTTTAATCCCTGGCAGTTTTCCCAGACTCATGGTGGCAGAAAAGTTGTGTAATTTCGCTTTAATTTGGATGAGAGTGTCTGAGCTCTGCGCACATGTCAGTCAAGTTTAAATTCCAACTTAGGGTCCACTGTAAAACCAGAGAGAGAGAGAAAAAAGAAATGAAATGTAGGGGACAGTGAGAACAGAAAACACAAATATGTGGTTGCTCAGTCGGCAGAGAATGTGTGTATAATCCATTCTCCACACGGCCAGAGCCAACTATTCATCCACGGACGGCCTACGGTTTCCCTTTCAGATCTACACTAAAAGATGCCAGTCTCTCTCCCACTCAAGCACAGCTAGCACTGCACATGGCCAAACCCTCAGCTCGCTTCTACTGCCCAGCAGATGACAAAATAACACAGAAGATGACTTATAAGGCCACACTTTGTTGCCTCTGGCTGCCACAGTTCATGTGGTTGGAGAATTTGGGGCTGGCTGGACTCTTCTTCACATTTGGTTTAGCGAATGACAGAATCCAGCCACAACTGCAAATAAACTGAGACATGACTTCAGCCAAACAACTCCGCTGGTTTGCGAGACAATAGTAATGAAATGGACTGATGTTCACTTCATTTGATATCTTTTAGGATTTGGAGAACTGTCTTGTTGTCAGTCTCAACTTACGTTTTACTCGCAACACTAAGTGGATTAACTCACCAGGAATCCTTTTTAAACCAAAGTGAGCCTGGAGAGTATTCTGCACCAGCATACAAATTCATACATTACTCTTTATAGGCCCATTTCCACCAGAATGTGGTTACCCTTCTCACTATTATTTAGGTTTCAAATGAGCCCACAAGTAGTAAAGTAGTTTATGTCTGATGTGTTATTCTGTAATCCTGCACTTTAGAAGAAAAAGCCAGCTAAATGCCAACACAGCAGTATCACCACTCCGTAGCTTACTGGCAGCGAGTCCTTTTTGCGTGTGTCTTCAATACATGTCAGCTTTTAGGAGAATCTGGTGTGTCTCAAGTCCAGACGGAGAGAGCTTGGAGTCCACTGGCATGCACCGTCTCTCCCACTAAAGACGTTTATCTATGTGTGACACCAAACTGTCCATGGGACATCCTGTCAGCAGGCCTGCCACCCCTCTTCTTTGTGTGTCCTCCGTTCCCCTGGTCCCTCGGCTCCCGCGACGTCGGCCTTTTGAGGGGCAATGAAAACAATCAGAGCAAAGGAAAAAGGAGGGCGATGCTTTCTGGAAAAGGGTAACAAAGTAGAGTGCCGTAGTCCAGCTACTGTTTTGCCTGCATCACCCAGGAGGAAAAAATAAGGCTCATCCAGGATTGTCCATGCACTGGATTAGCTGCTAATCCCTTCTGTCGTCCCTCCCTCTCTGACTCCCACACTTGCTCTCTGCCTTCTTCAATCCACTTAGTTCTCCAATGGTTTCCAGTTAGGGAGACTTCTGTGTTTTCATACAGTTCACTTAAGGCCAGCTGGGAGAACAGACAGAGAGAAATGTCAGTGACATACTAAACGAAAAACTGAAACAGGAGCGTTCAGGCGCACATAAATGTGTCAGGCGTCTAAAACTTTGGATTGACGGATGCATGCTGGGAATGTGATTCTCTCTCTCGGTGGCCTGAGAAGTCAGCAGGTTCTCGAGAATTTGTTCAGGGACCAAACTTGACAAATAGAACCTGTGTACTCTCTTAAGTCTGACTCATATGATAAATATTAATTTCAGTACAAGTACTTTCCATTATTCTCTCCTGAGTGAACAGTATGTTTCTAACATTATACAGTTTTCATTGATATCTACTTTAGCACTGACGCAATAAGGAGATTAGTCAATCTACAGAAGATATTTAAACATTTTGATCATCGATTTTTCAAACCTTAGAGCACATATACTAAATATTTTTTTATGATCTGATTTTGGACTGAATAGAAAATGCTTTTTAAAGACCATAACATTCTTCATTATTTCATGACGTTTTGCAGACTAAATAAAGAATCAATTAATTGGAAAATATCAGACTAAATGGTCATAAAAATAATCCCTATTTGGAGTGTATGCTAAGATATGGATCTTCCAAATTTTTACATTACATTTTTCAAATTAAACTGAATTAAAAATGAAAACAAATCACATGTGATGTGACATAAAAACAAGAGCCCCATGTCTGCACATGTTTAACCACACTGAGCTGCAGAGATGCCAGGTCTATCTCGCAGATTTATGCACAACAGTAAAACCATAAATCCACTTCTCCAGAGATAGAAATGTTTCCTACAGTAGCCTGTCTGCTTTTCCTGGATATATTCCAAACACCTTCTTCCTGTCTGCTGAAGAAATGACTCCAGGGCAAGGCGAGCACTGGTAAACTCCAAACATGTGACCTTTCCAAACCATAGTCCGTGTTGGATTAATGTCGCAGGAGTTACTAGTTTAAACTGCTGCCAGGCCAATCTGCCCATGTGCTGGTGCCACTCTTACTGGGCACTGGCCTGGGCTCAGATTACCTTCCCTAAATCTTTAACTAATCCCAGTTTTTCAACGACACAAAGGTTCAGGGGGGGGGGGGGCATTGCAGGGAGCATTCACTCTGTCTGTCAGCCAGAAATAGGAAAGGAGGGAATAAATAGGTGAAAATATGGGTGTGACAGAAAGAGTACTCAATTTAGAGTGACCATTCATAAAGCGGAGGGTGTGGAGGTACAATGGATTCCAGCCGTTTTCAGATCGCTTCTGATCCTCCAGCTCAATAACATTTAGCTTAAGGGAGCGATTAGGGCCTGTGGGGCACGGAAAGGTGAGAGGCAGATAAACATTATCGAGGGAGACAAACATCTACTGTCACTGTCAACACCAAGTTTGGAAAAAAATCAAATCATTTCAGAAATGTGTCTGTCTTGACGACCTTTAAATATAATTCCCATCCCGAAATCCTTCATTTTGCTGCTGCATTTCAGTCATCTGATGATAATTCACAGCTTTTCATTGAGTAATTAACTTGTTTTCTCCGGCCTTTATAGCTGCCAATTTCTTTTACCCCCATATCAGCCTTTTATATGGTTTTCCGTCTTCATTTACGGCTTTGCGAGCAGTAAACGCAGCTCAACACAGATCTCTTCATGCACACTAAAGTGTAAATGCCAGCACAGAAATTCACTCTGGGGAGAAAATTGGCCTCATTAAGGATACACGGAAAGACATTTATGTGTGCTAAACATGTTATTTATCCGTAAATTGTACCTGCAGGCATCCATATAGCTGCTTGACTGATTGCAGAGACAGATACAGGAAAGTAAAACGGGAACAGCTTGCAATGGGACCAGACCGGACACCATCTATTATGGCCATCACATAAAGGATCTGAGGACGCTGATGAGAGGCACATTTTTACATCATGTCTGTATGTTTTTTTTCTTTTTGACCAGACTTCTATTTTCAGCTCTCAACCTTGCTGTCTTTTATCTCTCTGTTTTTCCCTCTGTGACAAACGCACACACACACACACACACACACACACACACACACACACACACACATACCGTCATGTTTCCCATCTCTGTCATTGTCCTTGTTGCAGGCAGATTTTATGTGTCAGTCAAACATCTGGTACCACAGAGCCACAAATTGCAGAACCGGGCTCTGGTGACATTTGAGGGGCCGTTCAATCCCAGTGGCTCAGAGTGAGATACATCTGTGTGCTCGGACTTACACACAAACACAGGGCTGTGTCGCAGTAGGTCAGCTCTGAGGTTGCTTCCTCCACTGGACCGGAGGGCCTTTTACAGCACCGAACCAGCAAACTGTGGTTGAGGTCAGTACACCCTGACCATTACGCATGACTCCAAAATACAACATGCACTCAGTCAGTTTACAAGCATCTACTGCTGCGACGTGGCAAAACACTCCAAACCCTGCCAGGTCTTTATGGTGAGGGTGTCTCTGTTGCCTGCAGTAAAGTGTCTTACTCTGTATGTTACCTGACTGCAATGACACCTAACTGTCTTGAGTTATGAATATACAGTTGTGTGAAAAAGTGTTTGCCCCCTTCCTGATTTCTTATTTTTTT